TATTTTCTATAAATTCGCCACAAAGCAACTGGGACACATGTGGTAATGGCTCGGGAATCGACTATTCCTGCTTCTTGGCCTTGTCTCATTGTTCTGTCGCTAGTATTCTGCGCTGTTGACTACTTCTCATCTATGAGGGTTCCGCCTATGGTTAATTCCGAGGCGGATTAAAAAGTCCTTTTACCCACCTAAGGTAGGTTCTGTGGTACAATTTATGTCTGCGCTGAATGCAGCGTCGCGGCAATTGGACGCAAAAACAGAGCTTGTCTGTTTTTGGGGAAGGACAGGAACGCACTGTAACCTGTGTTTTCCTGATTGAATAGATCTTATTCGAAATAATGAGTCAAAATTGTTTGCTTTAAGAAGAATTAGAGCCGTCAAAGGACATGTTCGTTCCCTACTGTCTTTAAAACTAGCGTACATGGCTTTAACTAAGATTTCACGGGCTTTTAAAGAGGGTCGTTTAGTTCTTAGTCTGGTGTGACCTGCTGTAGGTTTCAGAAAAGCTAACTGCAAACGCATGCAAGCCACATACAAAATCAGTATGTGTCTCGATGAGACGGGAAGGCAAAAGCGATCTTTCTGTAAGTTACTGAGAAAGGGTTAAATGCAAATGCACATTTTTCAGCTAGATAACCAGGTACCGGAGAAGTGCCAGTGCGCACCTGGCTGCGAGGGCCTTGGTCTGCCGATCAGGGCATAGCGGACGCTCACAAGCTGATATAACAGCCACTCAAGGACTGTCTGATTGGTCGTATTTCAGTCCGGCGATGGACATTCCCACAAAATCCCTTGTTCGCCTTTTGTATATTGTCAGAATACGTCAATACACACTTTCGTTCGCCCTTTCTGTTAAATTGTAAGTTGTCCGGCGAGAGTTCTTGAACGGGCAACCAATGCGGCGTGCGGGGGTTGAACTTTACATCCATTAAAACGGGCTGCCCTGTTTCAGATGGCTAGTCCGAAGAACCTTGCATGATCCTCTGAATAGAGGCTCGTATAGTTTTCTCATGCATTGTCTGACATCCTACCTAATAATGCATCTTTAGTAACTTTAAAGTACGATTTGTTGTGTCAGTATTTTACTTGCCACTTACCACCTAACATGAAAAAGGTCTGTCAGACTATAGTTGTCATAGCAAGTTAAAATTTTTATTTTTTTCGAAACTAGCGTACATGACTTTCACTAAGATTTCATGGGCTTTTAAGGAGCGTCGTTTAGTTCTCAGTCTGGTGTGACCTGCTGTAGGTTTCACAAAAGCTAACTGCAAACGCATGCAAGCCACATACAAAATCAGTATGTGTCTCGATGACGGGAAGGCAAAAGCGATCTCGCAGTAAGGCACTGAGAAAGGGTTAAATGCAAATGCTCATTTTGCTGGCCACGTGCTGCCAGGAGGACATGTCCTTCTACGCGATTTCAACAAATGCTGCTATTTGCTTACAGCGTTGTGCAGAGATCTGTTCTGAGACCACGTAGAGAAATGCAACTAGATTCCTTGAGAAGGAATTTGCCCCGTTCAGGGGATTTCCTCCTACCCAAGGGGTCTTTATTCAGACAGAAGTAGCTGGCCGGGTGGGCGTTGAGGAGATGGGAATGTTTTAACGCGCAAAATCGGGTGCGCACCCCATTATCTTGCTTTTCAGATCGAAAACCCTCACTACAATGCATTGTGTCTTGGAAGGCTGCCAACTAAAAGTGATAACCCGATCCTCATGATCTACGTTTGTCTTTGGGATAACTGGTTTGCGGACTGAGAATCAGACTCACTGGCTCCTTTCTAATGTGACTTTGATGAAACATCCGCCCAGATGGACTCCGAGC